ATTGTTCTTGTCCTTTAAACCAGCAATTACTGGTTGTAACCAACTCCAGCGCACATATATATTTGATTTTCCTCTCTGTCCTGCTTTTATATAGGGTGAGCTTCTTGTATTTGTTGGAGGAGGAAGGAGATGGATTCTCCTTATCTGAAATCCTGTAATTTCCTTTCCCCAGGAGATGTTTCTGTGCTTGCAATGGCAATGAATCTGTGTACCAGCGGGTCACGATACACAAACATATGCACAAACCAGCAAATTTAAATAATTTCCCTTTTATTAACACAGCTAGTTTTATGTCCAAATAGCTGAACACATGAAGCTGCCCTATACTGAATCAGACCCTTGGTCCATCAAGGTCAGTGTTGCCTACTCAGACTGGCAGCAGCTCTACAGGGTCTCAGGCAGAGGTCTTTCACATTACCTTCTCCTTGGTCCTTTTTCAACTGGAGATGCTGAGGACTGAACCTGGGGCCTTCTGCACGCCAAGCAGATGTTCTACCCCTGAACCACAGCCCCTCTAGTTTGGGAATGGCCTTATTGCTACAGATACTTTGGTGGGCTAGGATTTTATAGCTGGATGATCGAAAGCAAAGAGTTGGTTACCAAGCCCAACCCTGTACAACCCCTACCAACTTCCCACCCCATCTTTATGCAGCCCCCTTTTGCCCTCCATCCTCTGTAATCGACCCCATCCATTTTGCCCTCAAATGTTTTATGAGCACCCTTGGAAGGTCAGTAGTTCAGCAGTTCAAGACCCAAGTGTGCCACATGACGGAGTGAGCTCCCGTCTCTAGTTCCAGCTCCTGCCAATCTAGCCGTTCGAAAGCAAGAAATTGCAAGTAGATAAATAGGTACCACTTTGGTGGGAAGGTAACAGCGTTCCGTGCGCCTTGGTGTTTAGTCATGCCGGCCACATGACCACGGAAACATCTTCGGACATCGCTGGCACTTCGGCTTTGAAACGGAGATGAGCACCACAACCCTAGAGTCAGATTCGACTGGCTTTCGAGCAAGGGAACCTTTACCTTTTTTTAACAGTGTAGTGACAGGCACGGCACCTCAGGACGACCTTATTAAGTGACTTTGAACAAGCAATAACCACCGTTTCACATTCACGATAAGGGAACGCTAGCACACTCCTACCATACAGAGCTGTTGTAAAGATTACTGAGCTCGTGCGTGCACCGCATTTCAGCCCTCGGAATCACGACGTACGTGTTTCGTGCACACATTCTCCATCTCCGTATCTCCCCTCTGTTACTAATATCATTGCATCACTTCTGCTACTCCGCCCCTTCCCTCCTGCTACTGGTCCTTACTCTGCCTCATGGTGACCCTAACGTCTCTTTGTGACTGTGACCTTTCTTCACCCCCTAATCATGATAGCCCCGTGGCTTTCTTTCCTACCATATATCCCGTTCCCACAAAAATTCTATCATACTCCTTCCCAAATCCTGTTCTGTCCTTCCTCACACCCCAAACTCTACTATATCACCATGACACTACTGTGCTTCCCCTCTCCCAGATCACCATGACAACACCAAAGTTCTCTCTGTCTCCCAATGCATGCACCTCAACAATAGCCTGCACTTGGTCATCCCCATCTATTACTAAAACTTCACCATAACAAGCCCAGAGCTCCCCTTTCCAGTCACCACCCTATCCCTATTAGAAACCCATGGTGTTCCCCTGCTCTCCAATCACCTCGCCAACCACATGGCCCCATCCATTGTGCCTTCACCATGCCAACCAAATGGCTCTCTTTCTTCTCCTGTATCCTGATCACATGACTGTCCTCCTCCACACCACAGTGCCTTGACTCCGCTTCCCCCATCTGCCCTACTCCCACAGCACCCTCACAATTCTTCTTCAGAGCCAGTCTGGTGTAGTGGCTAGGAGCGCAAACGCTAATCTGGGAGAACCGGGTTTGATTCCCCACTCCTCCACATGCAGCTGCTGGTGTGACTTTGGGTCAGTCACAAGTGTGTTCAGAGCTGTCCCCTCAAGAGCAGTCCTCGAAAGAGCTCTCTCAGCCCCACCTACCTCACAGTGTGTCTGCTGTGGGGAGGGGAAGGAGATTGTAAGGGCGAGGTAGAAGTCCAATCTCTTCTTCTTCTTCTGCTTCTCCTCTCCACCCTCTAATTTATCACCCTGAAAGCCCCACAGCTCTCCTTCACAGCAATCCCACCACCATACCAGCCACGAGGTTCTCCTCCTCCTTCTTTTTCACTCCCTCATCCCCATCATAACCCCATGGCACTCATTTCCCACATCTACCCAGTTAAACTTGCTGCCAGTGGGCCTAGACTGTGGGGTCTCTAGTGGCATCTGGCTGGCCACCACTGAAAAAATGCCACAGAAGGGAGAGCATTGGCCTAATCCAGCAATCCTACTTTCATCTTCTTATGTACTGTCCCCCAGAACAACCACAGGCTTCTTCTCCTGCTCTTCGAACCATTCAGTGCCCCATTACAATCCCATGCCTTTCCTCCTTATCAACCCTGTCCCCATGACAGCCCCATGGCTCTGTGTCTTGCCTACCTTGTTGCCGCACCATATACATGGTTTTCCTCCCATCCATCCACTGCCCTCATCACCATGAAAACTCCATGGCTCCCCTTCGCGTTCTTGTTGCCATGACAACTGCATGGTTCTACACCACCACCACCACCCATCCCCCCAGTTCTCACATTCCTTCCTCTCGTCTCCATCCCCATGACAACCACACAGCCATCCTCTTTCCCATCAAATTCTATGGTTCTTCTTTCACTAAGAATATAAGAAGCACACTGCTGGATTAGACCCTGGTCCAACTAATCCACAACATCCTGTCTGATCCTAACCAATCAGTTACCCCGAAGGACCAAGAAACGGTGACTAGGCCTCCTAACACTATCATTCAGAGGTAGCCTCACATGGAACTCCCATGTAGTCACCATAACTAGAAGCCAGTGATGGACCTCTGTTCCATGAATTAGTACAACCCACTTTTGAAGCCACTCATATCATAAATCATCTCTATAAGTGGTGGAGAAGACCCTGGAGAAGACCCTGATGCTGGGAAAGATTGAAGGTCAAAGAAGACGGGGACGGCAAAGGATGAGATGGTTAGACAGTGTCATCGATGCAACGAACATGAAATTGAGCCAACTTCAGAGGACGGCGGAAGACAGGAGGGCCTGGCGGGAGATGATCCATGGGGTCGCAAAGAGTCAGACTCGACTGTGCGACTGAACAACAACAACATAAGTGGTGAATCTCACAGTTTAATTACTCAGTGAGTAAACACATAGCTCCTTTGCTCCATCCTATCTGTTCTACAACATCAACATGCTTCTTTGCTGCCCTCCTCCATCACGGTGACAACCCTATAGCTCTCCTTCCCAGCCTGGGTTGCCAACCTCCAGGTGGGGCCTAAAGATGTCTCAGAATTGCAACTGATTTCTAGACTACAAGGACCAGTTCCTGTAGAATAAGCAGTGGCTTTGGAGGGTGGATTCTACAGTGTTATACCCCTCTGAGGTCCCTCTCCAAATCCTGCACCTCCTGATGCTCCCCGCACCAATCTCCAGGAGCACCCAATCAGCCACAAGTCTTCTCCTCCTCCACCACCCCACTCTGTGGTGCTCCTCTGCCCGCACCACCATCTAGGGCCTGGAGAGCTCCCAGAATTACAACTGCTCTCCAGGTGGATAGCCAATGTTGGTCTGAAGCAACAGAACAGAGTTTGAGTTCAGCAGCACCTTTAAGACCAACAAAGTCTGGGTAGTTTGGACTCTAATCTGGGTGAACCAGGTTGGATTCCCCACTCCTCCTCCACATGCAACTGCTGAAATGACCTTGGGTCAGTCACAAGAACTCTCAGAGCTGTTCTCTCACGAGCAGTCCTCAAAAGAGCTCTCTCAGCCCCACCTGCTTCACAGGGTTGTCTGTTGTGGGAAGAGGAAGGGAAAGAAGATTGTAAGCCACTCTGAAACTCCTGGTAGCGGAAGGTGGGGTATAAATCCAATATCATCTTCTTCCTGTGCAAGCACATCTCTTCAGATAACTAGATCTCCAGACTACAAAGATCAACTCCCCTGGAGGAAACGGCTGCTTTGAGAGTGGACTCAATCACATTATACCCCAACTGAGGTTCCACTCTTCTTAAGAACATAAGAGAACACATGAGAAGTCAATGTTGAATCATGCCAATGGCTCATCCAGTCCAACACGCTGTCACGCAGTGGCCAAAAATACCAAGTGCCAAACCCTACCTTCCCCAGGATCCACCCCCAAAACCTACAGGAAATTCCCAATCCAGAGTTGGCAACCCTACCTCAGTCCCCATGACAACCACGGGACCCTACTACTCCCTCACCCCCAGGGGCGGATTAACCATTAAGCAGACTAAGCACGTGCGCAGGGCACCAGGGCCAAAGGGGGCACCACAAAGTTGGGAAAGGGGTGAAAAGAAAAAAAAACGAATGAAAATTTGTAAAAAAAAAAAAAATTGATAAAACTAGTGCAAATTGATTATGGTGCACCCTAGGGTTATCTTCTATTTTTTGTTGGCGAGGTGCAGCGTCATAGGCTATGTTTAAAAGTAAAATGCATGTGTTTAAAAGTAAAATGATGGAGCCAAATTCAGTTGTCATGACAGTCATTTCAAGGACCCTCTCTGCCCCTTTTTAATGTCAGCCCCTTGTAAACATCAAAAATGATGTTCAGCTGAGTGGTGCGCAAAAGGAGGGGGACACCAACATTGGCCAGTCCTTAGGGCATCAGTGAGCCTTCATCCGCCCCTGCTCACACACACACACCCCACACACTGCTCCGTTAGCCCCGCCGAGGTTTCATTTCCCACCGCCCCGCTGCCATGGCAACCACCCCCACCCCACCCATGACAACCCAGAGGGTTCCCCGTCCCCTCGTCCCCATGACAACCGCACGGTCCCCGCCCTCCCCCATCCCTATGGCAACGCCGAGGCGCCTCTCCTCCATCCTCCCCCTCTGCCACTCACACAGCTCGCAGTAGCGCCGGCAGCCGCGGCCCAGGGTGTGCAGGTAGCGCTGGAGGACGTCGGTGAGGAGGTCGCAGGCGGAGAGCTGCACCGAGTCCCAGCCCAGCGCCTGGCACACCTGGGCCACCGAGACGCGCAGCAGCCAGCGCGAGTAGCTCTCGCACATCCTCGCCTCACTGCGCCGCGGCGCTCGGCAGGGCCCGGCCGGCGGCCATGGCCCGGGCGGGAGGGCGTGGACGACGACGAGGGGAGCGGGGTCCGCTCACGCCGGAGCCTCTTCGGCCGCCTCAGACTCGGCCAGCGCCGCCATCTTGTGGTCGCGGGGGCAGCCCAGCAGCCCCCACCGGCCGCGCGCGGAGCGCATCGATGGAGGGCGGCGAGCGGGCGGGACGGGCGGCCCCCGGGCCCCGCCCTCTCATCGATGGCTCCGGCATCGACTGCCTAGGCGGAAGAGAAAGGAGCCGAGAGCGGCTGGTGTCTTCGCTCTCGTTGCAAACGGGGCTGGGATTTTGGACCGCGGGTTCTGCAGCCATGGTTACTTGCGGCCAGGGCCGGATTTAGACTTGCTGAGGCCCTAAGCGATACAAAACCCAGAGGCCCCCTACTGTTTTAAATTACATCAGCTGGTCTCAGAAAAATTTAAAATATTTACGCATTTTTTAATATTTGAAATCATTTTTATATTGTGTTTTTATTCGAGGCCCCAGCAGATTGTGAGGCCCTAAACTGTAGCTTATTTAGCTTATGCGTAAATCCGGCACTGCTTGCGGCTGTCATGCTCATGCCAGTGTGGTGTCGTGGTTAAGTGCGCCGACTCTAATCTGGGAGAACCGGGTTTTGTTTTTGTTCTTTTAATAATAATTTCTGTTTTATTAGAAATACACAAATACAGATAAGACGATAAAACATTTTGAAATAACTCCATGAAACAATCATACAAACGTTCGAACAAGATTTCCACATTTTTTTTCTTTTTTCGCGTTTTCCTTTCTTTACGAAATGTGTGATTATCACTAAACAATTTTTGAACCTCATATCAACATTTTAAAAAGTTTTGCAGCTCATATCCACGTGAACTCTATAACAGATTGGCTGAGTACGTTTGATTATCTGATGTCTACAAGAGAAAGAAAAGCAGAAAATGAAAGAATAATAACTTAATGAAAGTTCAAATCCATTTATGGAATTGGGACCACTCGGATGTTGCGATTATAAATATTCTAGTATCCCCACCTCTCCACTCACACCCAGCTGGATGGCCTTGGGCAAGCCGTAGCTCTGATAAGAGCTGTTCTTGAAAAAGAGCCGTTTCTGTCAAGAGCTCTCTCAGCCCCACCTACCTCACAGGGCGTCTGTTGTGGGGAGGGGAAGGGAAAGGAGTTTGTAAGCCGCTCAGAGACACCTTTGGGTAGTGAAAGGTGGGGTGTAAATCCAATCTCTTCTTCTTCTTCTCTTCTGTGAGGACACCAGGGCCCTGTGGAGTTTACGTCAATTCCGCAGGGCCTGCAAGACGGAGCTCTTCCGCCAGGCATTTGACCACACTTGACATCTTGATACCTTGGAGCCTCTCTGGGATTGTTTGTATCATCTATGTCCGTATTGACTGACTCCTGTTACGAAAACATGGGATTATGACTGCCATCGCATAGGAAATATATATGTATTGCACTTTAGCTTTTATGTGTTTTAAACTGTTTTATGTAAGCCGCCCTGAGCCTGCTTTGGTGGGGAGCGCGGGGTATAAATCCAATAAATAAATAAATAAATAAATAAATATTCCAGGTAGAAACTTGTGTGTGCATGCACACTGCTTCAGATACAGTGAAAAGCTTATGCCCAGAACTAAACTTTGTTGGTCTTAAGGGTGCCGCTGGACCGAAACGTTGTTCTGCTGCTTCAGACCAACACGGCTACCCCCCTGAATCTATGTTAAGGGTACAAGCCTTTGAGAGTCAAACCTCTCCTTGTCAGACACAAATTCCTTACAACGCCCCTCCCACCTTCATTACCAGTGCTAGTTTCTCCAGGCCTGCTACCCCTCTGCATATCACACCTCATCCAATCCCGCCTGTTGTTGTCATTCGCCTGCTGTTGACATTTGCCCGCTAATATCATTCGGCATCTGAAATCACTCCACTGTCCGAGATACAAGGACTGATGAACTCACAATCCAGCTGTATCTGAAGACGTGAGCGGTGACTCAGGAAAGCTCCTCCCCGTCCACAAATTTTGTTAGTCTTTAAGAGGACGGCGGAAGACCGGAAGGCCTGGCGTGATCTGGTCCATGAGGTCGCGAAGAGTCGGACTCGACTGTGCGACTGAACAACAACAAAAAGTTGCTCCTGGACTCTTGCTCTTTTCGACTCCCACCTTCTGACCAGGATAACAGGACTCAAAGATTTCCATTGATTTGTGTCTGCGAAGCTGACGCTCGAAAGCATAGATCCTGAAACTCCTGTTGATCTCTAAGGCACCATTGGACTCGAATGTGGCTTTTCTACTGCAGTTCATGGTGCCTGTCTTCTGGAATTATTGACTGGCATTATTGATATTTTTTTATTTCGGTACGCCTCATTCATCATTCTCATCTTGGGTCATTTCAATATGCATTGTTTGCTATTATTTTTATCATGCATTCCAATTAATCTTTAGTGAACGTTCCTGTCTTGTATTGTAATACATACGATTAATTGCTGTTGGTATTGTTTCAATGTGCATTGTTATTCACCCTTGCATTATTTTAATATGTATTGTCGCTTGGTATTGATATTCATTTTAATAGATGTCATTATTTATCTCAACCGATCATTCTTATTTTTTCATATTAATGTGCTTTGTTAGCACTAGTAATTTTTATACACAATGTTGCTCATTAATAGTGATGGCTCTTACCGATTGTATTTTAAAAGATGATTTTAAAATTAATTTATTAATATGCTTTATTATTAATCGACATGAATCATCATTCTTCTAAATTATGCGGCGCCTATATAAACTAAGCCATGACCTGGAGAGTCTAGGCTAGCCTGATCGTGGTAGATCTTGGAAGCTAAGCAGGGTTAGCCCTGGTTAGCATTTGGATGGGAGACCGGCAGTGTGGAGTCTCGTGAGCAAAAATTCTACTTGGTGAGCTTACTGGCATTCAAGTTGGGAGTGAGCGATTTGGCTACTGCACAAATCTGTTTGCTCTGGAGCCACCCTTCCTGAGCGAAGACAAAAATGTGTGAGACAGAGGCTAAAAAAACTGTGAGCTAGCTCACACGAACTCAGCTTCGAGGGAACACTGGTCACAAGGATCTCCACTGCGTGATTGGAAGGTGTTAGGAGGGAAATGAATGGAAATCCATCCACCTTGTGATCGAATGAGAGATGGACTCACATTCTAGCAGTACCTGAAGGAGTGAGCAGTGACTCAGGAAAGCTCCCACTGATACTCTTGCGTGCAATGCCCCCTCTAAGCTGTGGAGCCTTGTGAGCAAGAACTCTACTCTGCAAGCCACTGGCAATAAAGCGGTTTGGCTGCTGCGTAAATCAGTTTGCTCTGGAGCCCTCCTTCCTGAGCGAAGACAAAAATGTGTGAACCGAAGGCTAAAAAAACAGTGAGCTAGCTCACACTAACTCAGCTTAGAGGGAACACTGCACACACTAAATAATCCACTTTCAATGCAACTTTCCAACTGGTTTATTGGTGGAGAAGGGGCTTGTTATTTTAACTTCCATGGAGAAAGATGAAGATGGGTCGCCGTGTTAGTCTGTAGCAGTAGAAAAGAGCAAGAGTCCAGGAACACCTTCAAGACTCACAAAATCTGTGGCAGGGGAGGAGCTTTCGTGAGTCACTTTTCACCTCCTCAGGAATCTGCCACAAATTTTATTAGCCTTTAAGGTGCTACTGGACTCTTGCTCTTTTCTACTTCTACAAACGGACTAACACGGCTACCCATCTCGATCGATCTCCAGGGAAGGCACCGTGTTTAGCTGTACAGAACGGAAATTGGAGACCACCAAGGAAGTCCAAGGGTTGCTACGCAGAGGCAGGCAATGGCAAATCACCTCTGAATGTCTCTTACCTCGACCTCGGTGGCCCAGGCTAGCTTGATCATGGCATATCTCGGAAGCGAAGTACGGTTGGCCCTGGCTAGTATTTGGATGGGAGGCCACCAAGGAATACCAGGGTTGCTACGCAGAGGCAGGAAACGGCAAGCCACCTCTGACCATCTCTGGCCTTGAAAATCTGTGGGGTTGCCATAGGTTGGCTGCAACCTGATGGCAAATATTTAGCCTGGCCTTGTTAGAACTCGGAAGCTAAACGGGTCAGCCCTGAATGGGAGACCACCAAGGAGGTCCAGGGGTTGCTACGCAGAGGCAGACAATGGCAAACCACCTCCGAACGTCTCTTGCCTTGAAAACCCCCTCTGCTGGGGTCCCCATAAGTCAGCTGCAACTTCACGGCACTTTCTACCACCAATACCCAATGATACCAGTTATCTTTCATAAGCAATGTTCCCTCTAAGCCGAGTTAGTGTGAGCTAGCTCATGGCTCTGTAGCCTCCAGCTCACACATTTTTTGTCTTGGCTCAGGAAGGATGGCTCCAGAGCAAACTGATTTCTGCAGCAGCCCAATGGCTCGCTCACCACTGTAATGCCAGTTGCTCACAAAGTAGGATTTTTGCTCACAAGACTCCACAGCTTAGAGGGAGCATTGTTCATAAGTGTAGGGTATTTGCAGGGATCCCAGATCACCGCAGACTGTGACAGCAGCCATGAAATTATAAAAGACGCCTGCTCCTTGGGAGGAAAGCGATGGCGAACCTAAACAGCATGATAAAAAGTAGAGACATCACCCTGCCAACAAAAGTCTGCATGGTCAAAGCAATGGTATTCCCAGTAGGATGGCTGCGAGAGTTGGACTATAAGGAAGGCCGAGCGCCAAAGAATAGATTCTTTTGAACTATGGTGCTGGAGAAGACTCTTGAGAGTCCCTTGGACTGCAAGAAGATCAAACCAGTCAGTCCTAAAAGAAATCAACCCTGACTGTTCCCTGGAAGGCCAGATAATGAAACTGAAGCTCAAATACTTTGGCCACCCAATGAGAAGGGAGCACTCATTGGAGAAGACCCTGATGCTGGGAAAGATTGAAGGTCAAAGAAGACGGGGACGGCAAAGGATGAGATGGTTAGACAGTGTCATCGATGCAACGAACATGAAGTTGAGCCAACTTCAGAGGACGGCGGAAGACAGGAAGGCCTGGCGGGATCTGGTCCATGGGGCCGCGATGAGTCGGGCTCGACTGTGCGACTGAACAACCAATTTGCAGTT